TCTGGAGAAAACTCTAATTCAAAAAGACACATGCACCCCAATGTTCACAGCAGCACTATTTACAGTAGCCAAACATGGAAACAACCTAAATGTCCACTGACAGATGACTGGATAAAGAAGATGAATGGATCAGCCATAGAAACCGACACCATAACGCCACTTGCAGCAACATGGATGCTCCTGGAGAATGTCATTCTAAGTGAAGTAAAGCCAGAAAGAGAAAGAAGAATACCATATGAGATCGCTCATATGTGGAATCTAAAAAAAAAAACCCAAACAAAACAAAACAAAACAAAAAAACAAACAAAACATAAGTACAAAACAGAAACAGACTCATAGACATAGAATACAAACTTGTGGTTGCCAAGGGGGCGGGGGGTGGGAAGAGATAGACTGGGATTTCAAAATTGTAGAATAGATAAACAAGATTATACTGTACAGCACAGGGAAATATGTACAAGATCTTATGGTAGCTCACAGAGAAAAAAATGTAACAATGAATATATGTATATTCATGTATGATTGAAAAATTGTGCTCTACACTGGAATTGGACACAACATTGTAAAATGATTATAAATCAATAAAAAATGTTAAAAAATCCTAAAAAAAGATGAATGGATAAAGATATATAAATATATATAAAATGGAATATTTCTCAGACATGAAAAAGAATGAAATAATGCCATTTGCAGCAACATGGATGGACCTAGAGATTATCAGATAAGTGAAGTAACTCAGACAGAGAGAGAAAAACAGCATATGATATCACTTATATGTGGAATCTGAAAAAAGTGATACAAATGAATTTATCTACAAACCAGAAACAGACTTACAGACATAAAAAACAAACGTAAGGTTACCAAAGGGGAAGGCAGGGGGAAGGATAAATTAGGAGTTTGGGATTAACAGATACAAACTACTATATGTAAAATAGATAAATAACAAGGTCCTAATGTATAGCACAGGGAACTACATTCAATATCTTGTAATAACCTATAATGAAAAAGAATATATACATGTATAACTGAATCACTATGCTGTACACCAGAAACTAACATTGTATATCAACTAGACTTCAACAACAACAAAAAAAAACCCTCTTTGATACATACAACTGACAAAGTACTAGTGTCCAGAATATATAAAAATTCCTACAAATCAATAAGAAAAGTAGAAAGATAGGCAAAGGCTTGGATGGGCATTTTAGAAAGGAGAAATCGTAATGACTAACATGCTTGTGAGATCTTATTAGTAATCAGGGAACTGCAAGTAAACCCGCAGGGAGAGACCAGCATCCAGCAAGACCTAGATTACAAAGTGTGATGATCTTGAGTGCAGGTAGCGCCAGCCCCTCGGCAGGGGAACAGGGGCAGCTCCTGCAGGCCCTTTCCTGGGCTCTTTTCTGAGCATCACTGAAATTCAGTTGTAAAGCTTCTGCCTTCAACAGCATCCTCAAGGGATGTTGACAGAGCAGCCTCCTTGCAAGTGCAATTATCTTGAGTGACCATCCCAACGGGCTGTGCCAACATGGGGACCACATCCACCCAGGCACCACTCTGGTGTCAGGAAATGGAACACTGCGACCCCTTGTGCATGACTGGTGAGAGTCTAGCCCAGACAAGCGCCCTGGAAACTAAGCTAGCAGCATTTAGTAGAGTTGAAGATTCATACACCTGTGGTCCAGCAAATCCACTCCTGGTCATCTAGAGGAACTCACGTACCCCTGCTCCAAGCAGCTCAGAGATGCTCACAGCAGCATCGTTCATAGCCGCCAAAACCATCAATACCAACTCCATTGATAAAGAGTGAGAAACAGGCAGAATTCATTTATATAAAGTTCAGAAACAAGCAAAATGAACCTACATTGTGTGGGGACGCACACACATCCCCACATTCAAGGGTAGGAGAACTACAAAGAGAAGTCAGGAAATTGTCACAAAGGTCAGAATAGCAGCTGCCTTCGGGGCAGGTGGGGTTATGGTTGGGGAGGGGTAGGTGGGGGCTTCTGGGTGTGATCGCAGGGGTCACCACACAGGCTTTCATTAGCTGTGAACTTGAATTATGTAACTTGGTGTGGTATGCACTTTTCTGTCTGCTTGTTACAGTACATAGCAACAAAGGAGAACGAAACAAAACGAGTCTCCTTCTGTCATCATAAGAGCCTGGAGACCTGCTGAGACTTCCACGTAACATAAAATTATGGGAGGGGGCAGGG